AACTATGCTTATCTAAATTAATATTTATGGAAAATTTTTTCATTAATATTTTGTACCATATATAATAAGTACTGTATAACTGAAAAAATAATTGGTATTTTGCGTAATTATTCAAAAATTTACATATAAATGTAAGTATTGTTACAAATACTATAATGATATATTTTTATTTTGCTTGAGTATATTTAATTCAAGAAATCTCAAAAGCTATGATTCGTGCTTGAGCAAACTACCTTGCGAGGTCATTTTTAAACCATATACCGAATCAGAAGCTTGTTCACTTTATGGCATAATTGATTGTATCCAGCGAGAATATGTAAGTTTTATTTTTATAATTTCATAATAACTTCACTTATATTGAAATATTAAAAATACAAATTAGCTATTAATTTTTAAATTATAAGCAAATACATATTTTATTTAATGTACAAAGGGCATATGTAGTCAATCAGATCAAGATGACGTGAAAAAACGCCTTGATTATTTGATAATATACGCTGGGGATACGACAACACGAAGTTATTGCAAGGACCATGCTTATAATTCAAGCTATTCGTCAAAACTTAATAAGATGTTTGTTTTGGGTTTCGGGATATTTGTTTTATTTGTAAAGAATATCTAGAAAACTTGACGTACCTAGCAACTCTGGTTTCTTATTACTTTAATTAATTATATTGTTATTAAATATAATCTTATATTAATTTAATAATTTATAAATTTAACATTAAGACTATTTATTAAATATTGTATAATGTAAATATACAATTAACTATATTTGTATGCAATGTGTTACAATTGTTATTTTTATTTATTTAAATCTGTGAATTAAATATTAAGATATAATACAAATTATTCAATTAATAATATATATATTAGTTTACAAATAATAGTTGTCAAATAGCAAATTAATTATTTATATGATAAGATAAATTATTTTACAAGTAATATTTTATATTAATCTTAACTAGAACCACATATGCAAATATAATATAATATTAATGCTTGTTTTCTTGTAATGTTTCTATTTTAACAAACAATTTATTAATCACAATAAATATATTAAAATACATTTTGGATCAGAAAATTATATTTATTCTGTGCCAGCTATATGTGAAATACAGAATTATATTATAAATAATTTTAGTTTCGATTTGTATAAACATTGAATGTGAAAAATAATTATTTATTTTGCATTATTACAAATTAACAATTTTAAATATTTACAATCAAAATAAACATTTAATTAAAGGGTTGGACTTAATTTGTTAAGCAGAGGTTCCATAGTCTTTTGCCACACCTCATAACCTTTCGGACTGAGGTGTAGTCCATCGACAAAGAGCTCAAACTTTTGTGTGCCGTTTGGAAACACATACGGAGTCCACAAGTCCTCATAGAAGACGGTCTTATTATCGGCAAAATGCTGGATAAGTTCAGTCACTTGTTTGCATTTAGAGCCCTGAGGTTCAGGTCGGATCAGATTTGAGGTGAGTATGACTTTAGTGTCGGGCAGTTTGGCAGTCAATTCAGTCAACACTTGCTTTACTCCACGAACAGTATCCTCGACGGTGTTATTCCAACCGATATTATTAGTGCCTTTGGTTTTGAAACACATTAATAATATAATTTTAACAACAGTTGTATATAAAAATAACTAAACCTAGCATCGATAAATATAAAAATGAATTCTAATCAACGTATTAAAAACAGTGTTTACTCATACAAACTTATAAAACTTTACTAATTGATCCGCTGGGTTTTGAAAACCGGTATATATTTTTCAATGCAAACTGTATACATAACATAATCATAATATTAATAGTATATCACATATTCGTGTACACTATCAATACTATGGTTTGGTTACAAATACAGTTTGCATTTAAAAATACATACCGGTTTTCTCCACGTAGACGATCAATTGAGTATCATGATTAAAAAGTTTTATAAGTTTGAATGGGTTAACAGTGATGTTTAATGTTTAATTACAATTCATTTTTATTTATCGATTGCAGGTTTGCTTAATTTAATATACATTTAAAAATACTAACCGATCATAAGGACAGCCACTTTAGGGTGGAGTCCGTCGAACTCCTTATTTCTTATTCTGTAGATCATGTTCTCAGTCCTGTCCCCTCCTATGCCGTAATTGTAGGCATGCCTGTGCGCGTAATATATGTCCCAGGTCACCCGTCCCACATTCTCCCAGAACTGGGTGATGGAGTCGCCCACGAATATGATATGTGCATCAGCTCTATGTTGGACAGTCTGTGCGATGAGCCAGTTATGTCTATCAATCCAACCCTGGTCACTTCTGGCCTTAGGTTCCCATGGGCATTGCATTGTCCATAATAAACTAATATGTACCGGTCTGTTGGCTAAATATGATTTTTTTGGTCAGTTTATATGAATTTAAACAATTACAATTTAAACAATAAAATTGTGACTATTATTTAGCGTTTTTATTTAAAAATAATAATTTATATTGATATGATTGCCAACTGATTACTAATATGTTTATGATTAAGAAGTTATAAGTAAAATTGCATAGAGATTGCGTAATGATTTCTAATGAATACAGGATGTGCATAGGGTTCCCAAATCTCAAGGTTGAAGCAGGACTCTCAAGGAATCAGTCATATGCTCAAGGGAATATTTTTTAAAATATGACCATTTCAATGGGCCTATAGGAACTTTATGACCATTTTTAAAGGTCATGGAAATTAAGGGCGTTTTAGGGAAAAACTAAGGATTCTCAAGGAATTAGATTTTTCGATTTGGGAATGCTAGATGTGCATTACCTTTTCAAAACTATATATACAACTGTATTAATGATTATTGTATGACTAATACTATGAATAGCACTCTATAAATATAGCGACAACTAGCCTTGTTATAGGGTCATACACTTAAAACCGTCCAGGCGGAAACTTGAATAGCTCGCTAACTACAAGTCCGAGACTGAAACGGTAAAAAGTATTATTAAGATCTATTTAATGCAGAACTTTCACACTTAAAATAAATTT